CCCAAAAGCCCATTTCTACCCCAAAAGCCCATTTCTACCCTAAAAACCCATTTCTAACCCAAAAGCCCATTTCTAACCCAAAAGCCCATTTATTTCTAACCCAAAAGCCCCGAGTTGTTTCTAATTTTACTTCAAGAGACAAATCTTTCCCCACCATCCCAGTGAACTGCACTTCCTTGGAACAGAAGGGATTGTTCCAGCAAACCTCTGGCAAGCGAAGAGCTGTGGAGCACCAAGCTCCAAACCTCCCCTGTGCTGTTCCTGACAGACCACACTCCCACATTCCAAAATTTGGGAGGCCTCTCACCCTTCACAGCTTCCAGCTTGGAGCTCCTGCAGTTCTACTGGAAGAGGTGGTGAGAATTCTCACATTTTCCCCCAAAACACACTGGGATGCCAAGCCTTGGGAGCACAATATGTTGTGTTGATTTTCTTTTTTTTTTCCCAAAGGAAAACTTTACCTACCCAGCAGGATTTCATTTTGGAAGGTTCTAAACCCAACTGTCTTCTGCAAAACTCTCTCAAAGAAATGGAGCAGAAAGCACAAATTGAACCTTCGCTGCTGACACTGAAACAGCTTTTTATTTTCTTAGAGCAGATTTATTCCCAAATCTCAACACTTGTCCACTGAGGCAACGTGGAGAGAGTTGTTTTGTTCTTCACAGAGCAGGGAATTAAAGAAGTAAAATACCTAAAACTCAGAACAGTGCAGGAAGGTCTGGGGGGGAAACTCTGATTCAGAAGAAACTGGTTCAGGCCTCTCACTTAAGAGTGGTGCTTTTTACCCAGGAGATATGACAGAAAAATCAGATCTTGGTGCATTTTGTACCTCCTGAACACCTGAATCTTGGTGCATTTTGGACCTCCTGAACATTCCGAATCTTTGTGCATTTGGCACATTCTGAATTTCTTGCCGAGCCTCTTGTCCAGACCCCCATTCCCCCATCCCTTGCAGAAGGCAAATATCACTGTCCCTCTCCTTTAAAGCCGCCACCAACTCTCCACTCCCACCACCAACTCTCCACTCCCACCACCAA